CTCTTCAAAAAGACCATGTCTGGAGATGGTGTAGCTGGCAGAAAGCCTTATGGTTATTCTACACGTATGTTTTCTATGGTTGGTTGGAAGCGGCTGGAAGTAAACAGGATGATGTCTTTTGTTGGCATCGACGAATCCAACTTTCAGTCGGTGTTTAGGAGAGCTTTGGTGTGGAAGCCTAAAGGCCGTTTTCATCCACAATCTGTGTTGGACAATTTGCACGCCGATCACGAAAAAGATGGTCACTTTCCGGCTGATCAGACTCTGAAGAAGTTCCTTGTCACCAAGCAAGCCTCAGCTGCTGGCCTCCGTATCCAACATGCCTTCGAAAGCAAATATGGTGAGCAAGAATGTGTGCAGATCATCGAGAACTATGTTGCAGGAGGAGACAACTACTTGACAGAAGATAAGATGAGGAAAGCGTGTGGCTTGTCCCTTCGCATTCGACACGAGGAAACGCAAGATGGTGGTGTAGGCTTGCTGGAGGTTATGGACAGTCAACGGGAACGTGATCAAGAGACAGAGGAATATTCAACCCTGAGAATGAAGATTTGCCAGCATTTGCTTGAGAATATGCAAGCAGATCTCAGTTTTCGAGAGCTGTCGAAGAAATACAAAACAATGGTTGCAGGAGCACAGGTTCCCAACGTACCTCAAAAAACTTTGTGGAGTGAACTGTCGAGCCGGTCCCTCATGATAGATGCCCACCGGAAGGCTGCCCGATCGGTGCATTTTCTTCAACCGCTTTTGGATATGGAAGAACGTTTGGACAAAGTCATTGCTGTTGACCGCTGTTCTTGTGACCACTCTTTTCCAGAGGTATCGGATTTGAAGCAGTTGCATTCGTATTTATCCAGGGACACCAGCCGAAGCGCTAATGTAGCTACCATGAAACTTTTTTTGGAGCGCCTTTGCACATCCAAGCCTACAAGATCGTCAACAGCTGGCAGGCGAGGGCCTGTGGCAAGGAAGGAATGCAACGAACAAGATCTGGTCGAAGAATATCAGAAGCGATTGGAAAAGCTTGAGGCGTACGAGGGCGCTTGCTTACATTATAGCGCATTGGGTGAAGATATTGCAGAAACATCCAGCACACCAAGAAGGCGTGCTGTTCACAAGATGCAGGCCGCTCCTCAGGATGTTGTCAAAGTTAGCGTGTCCTACCACTATGGAGATGATAGGACCATACGCACGAGGAGGTTTGCTGAAGGAATGGGTGCGCAAAAGTGCGCCCGAAGAGTGCAAATGCACTTGTTCCATCACAGCAGGGACTTGGACATCGCAAATTGCTGTGTTACAATCATGTTGCAGCTTCTTGACAAATTGAAGCCAAGTCCGGAGATGCCTGCGCAGGTGAAGGCAGTCCTTGTCGAATGGCATCAGTCCAGACAAAAGGTCTGCGAAAAGTTGCTGCAAGTGGCCTACGCAGAAGGCAAGGCACTTGTCAACAGAGTCTTGAACGGCGGCTCTGTTCCGCCGAAGCTTCAAAACAATGAATGGCTGAAACGAATGCAACAGGCTGGTATTTACCTGAGGTGGTTTGCGTGCTCAGTGGTGAAGGATGACTATAAGGAGATTCTCCAGAGTGGCCAAAAAGCTTTCCCTGCTGCAACAGCTTTCTACTATCTTTGGACCTCAGTAGAAGACTACATTCTGGAGCACTGGTGCGAATTCTTGAAAAGACTTCAGCCCAGCCATTTGTCGTTGCATTTTGACGGTGTGCGAGTGAGCTCAGATGTCTCCGAGGATGTTGCCAAGATCATTCAGGAATCTGAAGAGCACATCCGAAAAAGCACAGGCTTTGATGTTAAGGTTGTTGAGAAAAGGCATACGCACGTGCTGGAGGCAATCAAACAAAAGGCCAAGTCATCGGCGACGGGTGAGCCCGATGAATTTCCAGATGCTTTGAAAAAACATGGAAATTGTATTCCTTCTTCTCTTTGGCATTTAGTTGCTTCCAAGAAGGACTTAGTGAGAAAGATTGAAGCCGAGCATCCACAGAACACCTACTGCCTAGAGCGCGGGCATCGAAGCTACCGGCAATGCTGTGAGCTGTTTGGAATTGAGCTCGGAGCTACACTTGGGATTTCGTCCCCGCCACCACATTCATTCCTTCTGCACACAGAGAATGGAGGTACTCCTCACTGCGTTGCCGTCAAGCTAGACAAAGGAAATGCGACCGTGCATGACCACGACGCGCGCTGGACGATTAGCATCGACAATCTTCTAGCTGCCCTTTTTGAAGGGGTAGATTCACACACAGTCGTTACCTTCACCATTCAGAATGACCATTGTGCCCCAAGTGACCTATTGCTGGACCTGCAGGCCGGCAGCTCATCATCGGAAGATGAGTTACCAGATGCCGACAGCTTGATCGTGAATGATGAGGGGGAAGTCTTCGTGCACGACAACTTGAAGGATTCGATGGAGGAGGAAGTAGCAAGCTTCCTGCAAGAAGTTATTGACGACAACATCCGGAAGATTGGTGGGCTGTATCGGTGCACTTTATGCCCATTTCGATCATTTGCCAGGCTTCAACAGCTGCGTGTACATATAGAAAATTATCACACATCAGAGGTGCAGTTTGCCTGCTCCGGTACAAAACAACTGAAGGTCATTCTTGCTTTACACGATGACGATTGCATTCGCAGGGCCAGAGGCTGTGACTTCTTGTTTCGAAGTGCTTCGCTCATGGCCCGCAACTGCGCCCCTCCTCTCTCACATCGACAGACCTACATCGACAGAGAAGTTCGACTTCTATTCACAGCAGGCGGCCCTGTCTACGTTAACAAAGCGGCTTTCGGCACAACCATCTTTGCCCGCAGAGTCCTCAACATCTACTACGACAAATCTTTCGCCGAGGTCTTGTACCGCGAAGTTGTACTTCATCATTCAAATGCTCCGTGGCCTGAAACGGGCTTGGGCTTGGGATTTCTCGAATGTTTTTCTTTCTGTTTGTGTGTCTTTAAAGCTTGTTCATTACAGAGACAGCCCATTAGATTAGATTCAAAGCTCTCTGCAGGTCAAAAGCGTCTGGCCTCGGCTACAACTTCGATCACTGGAAGCTGGCAATCCACTAGGCCGCCTCTACCCAGCCCACAACAGGGATTGGTGGCCTGTGGTAGAGGACATTTTCGCGCGCAAGCACATTCGCATCATCCTCAACTCTCTCACCACAACGTTGCTGCGCAATTCCGAGTTCCTCTACTTGTCTGTGGATGCCACGCTCAAAATATGCGCTGGGGTTGCAGGCCAAGCAAGCTGGCGCAGCTCCGTAAAGGTACGAAATCAGGCTGCCTTTGGAGACGATGTGGCCTACCGGCGGGTTCTGACAGTACGTGGTCGGACTGGTGCAGTGGTTGCCATGGTGCCAATCAGAGGCGAGGTGGTAATGGTTAGGGCAAATAGAAAGGTTCAATGCGCCCAATGCATTGATTGCAGCCCAACCCTGACAGGTGAAGATGCAGATTGTATATCTGAAGCTCTGGCTACTTCTCTGGACACTGAGGCACTGCAACAGGTGCTGTATATAGCCACTGATTCACCTTCTTCGAAGCTCTTTTTTACTTTGAAGAAATGCCTTGTAAATCTGCGTGCTTTGTCGCTGGATCCGGTGCACTTGGCAATTGTCTACGAGTATGCCCATTGGCACCGTAGAACGTCTGGTTCCAAGGTTTTGCGACAGCTCTTGAACAAGGTTAACATTGTCGATCAGCGTTGTTCAGATAAATCTTGGGGTTCTATGTTCTGTGGCTCACATGCCAGTCCCCTGACAGCGCAAGAGGAACGATTGCGGCATATGATTTTGAATTCCTCCATGCCGGAGCGTGCAGCGAAGATTGTTCTGGCCAGGCTGGATCCTGCGACCCCTTTGTTTTGCAGGATTACATTCATTGAAACTGTGGCTGCTATCGCGCAGCAGTACGAATCTGAAGTATGCCGCAAGGTGACGGGTCAAAACAAGGAAGTCCGGCAAATACTTTGGGCCGCGTGTGCCCCAGACCGATTGGGCTGGCTTATGAACAATTTGATGGTTCGTCACGGAATGGAACCTTGGCAGCGGGCTTTACTTCCAAGCGGAACTTCGTCGAATGAGGCCCTCCACGCTCAGATAAACACTTGGACGCGTCCAATTCGCACTATGCATCGCAGCACACTGAGATTGAAGCTGCAAATCATGCAGTTTGGGAAATTGCTGGCGCATCAAACAGCATTGTTTTTCCCAACAAGCAGACAGATGCCGGAAGGAAGCTTGCTGGCACAGTGTGTTGGAGTTGATGTTTGGTGTGAGGAACAGTGGAGGTGTTGGTGTCGGATTAACAAAGCAAAGCTTCCGCTGCACTCTGCGCGGAGGGATGAAGTCCAGGCTGTAAAGGATTGGCGCAGCGCCACAACATGTAAACCCAAGACGGTTCGAAAAAGAGCCAAGAGAACCGTTTTTACATTGGCTCGTCGCCACAGACTGCGTAGAGGCGGTGTCAAATGACATTCGACTTTTTGCAACCAGAAAAATGTTCATTGCGTCAGCTGACAGACAAGATGTCACGGTTGTAGATTTTAAACTGAGCGTATATATGGATGGAGATTCAGGCATACGCGTAGTCGCATAGAGATGTGTTTGTGGCGTATGAAAGAGATTTAAAGGAACAGTGAATAGTGTGAACCTCTGTGCTATTGTGGATTGAACGCGTGCGTGATGGTGAAACTGAGCAACCTGGTGTAACTGCACCTTTTGTGATGTCGAGTTCCCTTGCCCCACTATAGGCTGTTAGCAGGTTCGGTGAGGTCATCTTGAAAAATCTTGAGGGAAGTGCTGTCACGCTTCGGAACCTGCCGACCTTGTGGAGATCTGAAGTCTTGGGACGTGTACGCGAGCGTACAACAAACGGTGATTTGCTTGCAATGATTTGTTTCAATCGGTTGGTTGGATCTACTGGTCATGAGTTCAGCCAAGTAGGGTTGCTCTTGGAATAGGGCAACGTTTGTTGGCGGATCTTCCGCCACGGGTTTAGTGCTTTGTTGTGTCCTTTTCTCTTTTTGATCCGCCCGCACTCTCCTTTATGAAGGGGTCTTCATTCGTTGCGACCTTTTTGGTTAAATTTTGGGGTGGTAGGTTTCTTCTTTGAGCCACCCTTGCACGGCTGGTTTGCTGCGCTGGTCCCGGTCTCCTTTCTTCCCGTACCAGGGTTGTGAGTTAACAAGTGGTGCATCTGGCATGCATGGGTTTTGTTTCTGGTGATGTGATTTCTCTTTCCAATTTATTTTGGTTCATCACCTTTCATTGCTAAGCGCATCCCGACTACTATTACTACTATTTGTTGTTTTAAGGTAGTGTTGACATGGTAGACTGATTCGAAAAATTTCGGGGACAGCAAATAGTATTTGTTACAAAAAGGATAATTTAGCTTTTTCTATATTTCTTGCAGATGGTGGAGTTATAGTTAGGTTTCACTGCGTGCCATATCATATGTGTGTAGGATGGACGTGCACAGCGCTAATACGCAAAACTTGATTGCTGGCTGGACGTTTTTTCTGGTAGACAACAAAAAACTAATGTGCTAAATGCGCTAAATAGTTTTCATATGCTGCTGTATTCTGACTGACTAAGACGAAAAACAATAGACGAGAGACCGAGAGACTAAACGAAACGCTTCACCATGCATGTCGATGTGAACTGTTGGCTATAGTTTTTCCTTTTTTTCCCCATGGGTGCGCGGAAGTGTCGTGGGTTTCAATGGGTTTCAATGTCACAAAAGTCATCCGTTCAAAAGGCAATAAAGGACAGATGTTTCATTGTTGACTGCAATGTTCTATGTTTACGGTTGCTCCGCTTTTCACCCCTTGGCCCTTTGCCATGGCGCGCAGAGAGCGGCGCGCCAAGCGGATGGCAGATTGGTATGGACTTGCCGTGGAAGGCCTATACCCGGGTTTGACGGCGAATCGAGTCCTTCCGGGCATGTCCAAAAAGTAGTTGTGAGCCATATGGGAGATGATCGAAAACCCAGCGTAAGGAGTTTAATATAAAACAGCCTTTTAGATGTTGTTAAAACCCTCCGCGAAAGCTTCGCGATGAGGTTCGCGAAAGTACATGTTTTTCGCGAAAGATTTATCGAAGGTTCTGGTTTTAATATTGGTTCTCCTTTTATGGCCCACTGGATAAAAAGCTTCTACGTAGAACTTTACTTGGTTTCAGTTTGTTTTGGGATGTCAATGTGTAGTGTAGCGTATGTTTGTGGGATTCCTGTATTATGTGTCATAGATCACAGATGTGTATAGTTGTCAGAGGCATTTGTGCTTGAAGCAATCTAGCCACAGAGATGGCGCCAAATACAGCCAAAGTGCAATCACCTGGCTGAGCCAGTTTGAGCCAATGGGGAAATCATTAATGATTTTTCGCGAAAGATCCGCGAAAGTTTCACGAATGTGCCGATAAAGTTCTGCCTACCAAACTTGACCCCACCCCCATACCCCAACGACCTGGAATAGGGATGTGGGGCTGCTGGTCTGTCAGCTTTGGATGACGGCTGTATCAAAGTGGTGCAGGATTTCTTCTTCCGCCCACCGTATCTCTATATATAAATATACATGACTCTCTGACTCACCCAAAACATGTTAAGTAACCAACCTCTCTTGAGGAACATGCTTCGCGATGAGGTCGCGAAAGATCCGCGAAAGATATCTGCTTTTTCGCGATGAATGGCCATTCCAGGATGAAAGAATATTGATCAAACATCATATGTTGTAGACAAGAAGGTACAGCGGAACATTATATGGCATATTCATACCCAAAGATGCGCCACCGGCATGACAGGTGAGCGCGGCGCTGCGGCAAAGAAGCAGTGTGTTGCGCGAGCCGAAGAGGCCCGGCTCTCATGCTGAGCGTTCAGCTGTGCGCAAGGGTACGGATTGAAATAGGACAGAACAAACTACACAGTGCACATTCTGAGAACAGTTAGCACAGCAACGACGCCACGACATGTGTCATGAGGGAACTTTACGAAATCTTCATGGCTGCAGGTCGCTGAGAAGCTTCCTCCAGGCGGATTACGCCGAAGCGCTCCGCGCCGTTTTTTTCGAATCATGTTTGATTGTCGTGATGCGAGACACTTCGGCTATTAGTGAATGAGTGACACAAACGCATTAGCCGTTGACAAGTTGACACATTGACAAGTGATCTACCAATCACAGATCATCGCCAGGTCGGTTTGCCTATAGGCTGCATTAGGTTTTCCTTGATCCGATTGAATGCGGAAAGCTTGGCACAGGAGCTGCGAAAGGTCTGCAAAATGCAGCACCTTCAGGTGAGGAGTGGGGAGACGGTCGATGACAGGGCCACTACCCATATCAAGAGGTGTTTTCCTCACATAAACACTAAAATCAATTTACTGCTTAGTTCCTTACTTTTCACATACCATGGCATGGCTTCTTCAGTTGTCTCCTGGAAACGAATGGGAAAGTTTCTCGGATCGACTGTCTTTTCGTGGCTCAGGCCCGGAAGGCATTGATCCAATAACCATGGAGCGGCTTCTGTGGGGATCTGAAGTGAAACATAGAGACTGACAGTGAAGCACTTCAAGAAACATACCCTGTGAACTTTAATCCAATTTGATTCTCAGAGATTAGATTTTGGTCGAGGGCAGTCGGTGAGTTGTAATACAGCGTCCATCCAGATGGTCCCCCCTTAATTTCTATGATAGACTTCCATGCAGATGGTCGCCCCTTGAACCAAAAGCAATGTTTCGGTGGATTGTGAACGTCCGCTTTCGATCTTCCCGGTCGGATGGATATGTGGTCGTCACTGAGGAGCCAGGTGCAAAAAGGTGGTCCTTCGGTACAAAACGAAGCGCTCGTCGCAGTGACAGGCCACTGGAACGGCGTAGAGTTATGAAGACACAGATGTAATGATATTTGAGATGTATAGAAGGTATCAGACTTTTCTTTTTTCACATGTTCTCCAGAGAGCTGGTTGAAAGGTTTTGATCAGAATCCTTTTGATGAAGGACTTCTTTTGACAGACTTGGAAGTGCATTGTTTGTTTTGTGTTTTTAACCATCGGATGTTTGCGATGTCCCAGGCCTTCCGCCACAGCATGCGGCAAAGCTCTTGGAGTTTGCCCTTGAGAAGTCCAAGGACACCCGCTTCGTCGAATCGGGGATCTGGCGAGGTGGAGGTGAAGAGTCGAAGCAGAACAGTAAGCTTAGATAAAGGATCTTAGCCAAGTATCATTGTCCTGCGAAGGTCTGCGGAGTGTGAAGAAGGGTAAACACAACAAAAGCAAACAAACTCTTCAAAAGCCATGCAGACTGTCAAAGCATCAACAATATACGTGCTATTCATGCTTATTCTTTTTTGTAAGTCATGGTATGTGGTTGCCCCATCCAGGAGCTACGGGACCCGTCGATGTATATGGTGTCCACGGTGGCAAGGCCAGTGCGTCGTTGGGGAGACAATGCTTTCGTGACCCGTCGGATTGTATTCCGGGTGCAGAAAGGTGAGTCGGGCGACGAAATCCATACTCCGGTGGTGTAGGACGCCGCTCCAAAGAGAAACTAGAACTATGGTGCCGAGCGAACATAGAAACATATGATTTGTTGAGCTTACGAAAGCTGATGCTTCAACAAAAACGTACATAGGTTTGTGCTCTGGCTTGTGTTTTGCGCTTGTTAGTTTCACAATCCATGTGGAGCAGAGTCTGATTCTGGCCACCAAAAAGAACATGTATTGCTTTGCAAGAGTGGCTCTTTCTTTACAGTTTACCTGCGTAGACCATTTACATCCGCACCACCTGGCAGGGGCTTCAAGCCCAGATGGCACGCCAGGGTCTCAGATTTGGCAGAATTGCGGGCAAGTTACGGAGTTGCAGGAACTTTTGTTTAACGCTCAAATCAACATATTTCTGGCGGCCCGACATGGACAAACAATTCAATCAATGCGCCCTGGGCGTTTCAGAGTTGCACGCTGAGGAAATGGTGGAGGCCTCTGTCCCTTCCAAAGGATGGTTCGACGCGTTGCAAAGACGCAAGGATGATTGGCATGCGAAAATGACGGAGACATTCTTTTAACTCTTTCAACCGTATGATCACGTGGCTTTTGGGAGCCTCATTTGTTTTGGCACGAAGCCACTCATGAATTGAATTCACCAAACACTATGTTCATATCTGCGCGGGAATCAATCCGGTTGATGGTTATCGAAAAGATTTTTCAATCGGTACCTTTGTGAGGAAAAGGCGTACAACTTGAGCTGGCGCAAGATCGAAAGCCGCAGCCTGGCTTGAACGCAAAAGCGGCCGTACTCTTTTGAAAAGCGTAACAAGCTTTTGAACGTCATGCCAACCGTTCTAGGCTTCGGGAACCATCAGCCATCAGCGCTTGTATCCAAGGCACAAAGCCAGGAGTGTTCTACTGGGAGAATTTTCACACAGGCCAGAGATCAGTGGACGACGCTTTGGCTGATTCATTAGTTGCAACGCATGCTTCCCAATATACATGTGCAATAATTGAACAATGAAAAACAATGAGAAACCGATCTAAGGACCCGCGACGTCCGGTTTCTCCTTCCCCTGTGCGTGGTGGCATGGGCAAATGAGACCTGTGCGCGCTAGTGAGAAATGTGCCGGTGCTTTTCATCCGCAACGAAATGTTACCAAAAGGTCCCTGCCACATATATATATATATATATGTATTGTTTTTAAATGTTTTTTACAATTCTTATTCGCACAGATAATATTTTTGTTTCGGAATCTAGACTAACCCCCGAAAGATTCACATGGACCTCTAAAACCAGGTGTTGTCTTCCATGGGTCTATTCTCAGGTTCCATGTTAGTTTGCGGCGGGTACCCTCCAAACTTGTATGGGGACATTTTCTGCTCTCAATTCGCCATATGGAGAACTTCCGTCAGAGGGCGAGAGATTGAAAACATCGCTCGAGGCTCCCTTCACGATGCCTGGAGATGAGGCTTGGTGCGGCGGAGGGTCCAGCATCGTTGGACCATCACTGGGCCGATGTGAACCCAGTAAGGTCGCGGCCTCTACCATCTCCGCAAGATTCGTGTGATTCGGGGGCTCTGAAGCTTCAGGAAACTAGAACTTGAACATCCAGCTGGGAAACTTCTTTTAGTTTGAGCACACGAATGAAGCAAATATGGGACTCCCTTTTTTTGTGGACCTGGTTGGATTGATTGGCAGTCTTGAAAATCGAAGGACCACCATTGGCTTTGGTCCAACGACTGCGGTGCCTCCACAGTCCAAATACACAAGAACTCCCTCATTTAGAGGCCAAAACCTTCCAACCTTGCACACCTGACAAGCAGTGTTCCCAAACGGTTTGCCTCCAAAGACGTCGATGCCTCACCTGCCCCTGCCCCTCGCCTGGCCCTTCGCCTGCCCTCCTTCACCCCGGACCCGCCGAGGCTCTGCTGCGTCATGAGCGATGCCGAACAAAAGCTCACGGCCGAGCGTAGCATGGCCGGAGAGGCCTAGACGTGACTTTGAGCCTCCGCCGTACACGGACGGACGAGGAGCTCCGACCGAGTCCGGTGGAAGGGAAGGGTGGAGGAGGTGGTGGAGGCGTGACGCGCGCTGAAAACGCGGTGGGTGGACACCGAAGGGCGTTGTGGGTTTTGAATTTGGGTCCATATATCCCATATATCCATTCCATCTCTTCGTTTTTGCCGCGGTTGAAACCGGTTGATTCTGTCTTCTGTCGGCCAACCTGCGGGTCATGGGGGGTCATGGGGTCCAGGTGACCAGGTGGTGTACCCGCCTTTCTTGGAAGCTTCATGAAGCTTCATGGAATAGGCAGCTGGCCGGATCGCACAGATTTGATCCGCTGAACGTTGGGGATGAGGATGATCTTGGAGCTGCATCATCCTCCACTGAGCTCGAGCCATCCGCTGGTGCCCGGATGCTCAGAATGAAGCGACTCCCCGCGCGGGTTCCGCGGGTTCCGCGGGACGTGGCCGAATCCGGTCGAGGATGAGGATATGAGCTTGATCGATCAATAGGTGATCAGGGAGCCATCAGTGAGCTATAGTTGTGTCGTGCTGGCCTTTTTTCCAATTCAACATGGTGCGGACCATTTGTTCTACGGTATAGATGATACATATTCACAAAAACCCACCTTCTGACCACCTGGCTGGTTCAACGCCCCAGACCACCTCTTCACTCGGTGACCATTCCACCGGAGCCGAAAGGGTCGACGGCCACCGGGATGGGGGCTCCGCACCCGGAGCAGTTCGCGCGCTCTGGGTGAAGTCCCTGGAGCTCGGGGCGTTTTTGAACTGGTAGGTCGAGCCATGTCTGGGTCTATTCTGTTCATCTGGGGCTTCACAGCTCTTTTGGGTGTCCGTCACGTCCGAGCGCGGTGCCCTGCTGCCACGAGGTCTCTGAAGAGGTCCTACAGTGCCTGGGTCGCCGGGTTTTGCTCGTCGGCTCACGGAGAGAACCTCACGTTGTTTCGAGGACCTGAAGGCCGTGTTGTCCCTTGTTATTTAGGGTATGGAACTGGAACTGGAACTGAGATGAGATTCATTTTCCTCCTCTTGCTTAGCCCAGGTTGACCCCTGGTGGTCCAGGATTTCTCCCAGGTGCAGGTGATCAACGCGAGCTTTGAGAATCATCTCCCCCTCTTAAGATCGACGAGATGGAGACGACCGGGGTTGAAGAAAGCTACTTTGAATTACTTTGACTCCCCTGAAGGCATTGCTGCTGTTTGGTGCAACAGATCGGTAGAAAGAGATTTGTCACTCTCTTCATGTTCTCAGCGCTATTCCCCTACCTGCGGCAGTTGTTTGGGTGAAACTGGGATGTAGGGAAATGTAGGGAACCTAATCTGGGCCGAGATCTTGGCCCGCAAGGTGGCCAGAATCGGCGGCCTGATCGTACAAGATAATAAGATAGAAGACCCATCACTTTGAGCCTCATCAATCCCTTCCACCTTTACGCTGTTATATATACACTGTTTAAACCTTCTCAGAACCGACCCTTTTTGTACAGGATTGCTTTTGGGAGACACCCATGGGAAAAAAAAACAGGGTTCTGCTCTGCATGGAGTCCAGAACAAACTGCCCGAGTGAGTTTCCATCTTCACCCCTTCCCGAACGGCGTTCCCGGCGTTCCGCTCATGAAATCGAGGGTTAGTGCCAAGCAGCGTCGGAAGTTCTCCGCTTGAGAGACTGAGCAAGGAGTTTGAGAGAGAGGGAGAGCTAGAGAGCATTGAATCAGGTTACGGTTTGCGCAGGTATCGCTTGAAGGCGAAAGTTACATACCTCCCAACTATCATACCCTCGGGAGTTCACTTTTGGGCTTTTTGGCTTCTGCTTCGCCTTTGGTTGAAAGCCTGACAAATGCAACTACGTTCGACTTTTGAGTCCTTCAAGCTTAGAATTTCCTTTGAGATCTTTGAGGCTTCAATGTTTTTTTCAATTTTGGTAAGACTCACCCTGAATTCTTGCTGCTCATGTTGAACTATACCTGGATCTTC